AGAAGTTGAGTTAGACATGCTCACTTGGATAACTTATATTTTCTACACATATTTAGGCATCAAATTTAAATGCGTAGGACATGATACAATTTTTGACTTAACTGTCTATTTATTAAAAATTAAGTCCATGAAGTTCAAAAGTCTTTCGACTAGCATACTACCTGAATATTAATTTATATAATTTATTGGATGTTCTCAAATTTTATTTATTCAACCAAACATATACTTCATGGCTTGCGTATTTAATTGCAAAAATATGAAAATACTGCTATACAAAGTTATAGAATATACACACGAAACTTCCAAAAATCATTTTAATTTTCCGATTTACTTCATCTTTAAAATATGATGTCCAAATTTTAATTAATTTCTAGCTTCTTCTTTAATAGTGCAGTTTAATCGAGTTAAGGACTAGATCCCACAGAATTCACTTGGACCAATTCTGTTTGGAAAGGTGACAAAATGAAAGTAATGAAGCAATTTTCTATGGTTATAAAATAAAGTAAAATTTCACCTGCAAATCTATTCATTTCCAATTTAAAGTGGGTGAAAATTTGCCTACAATTATTTCTGCTTTAGAAAGGAAATTTAAGATGCAATATATAGCTCAAATAAGCCAGCAATTTATCTCTATAAGTTGGCACTAATTTTTTCTTTGTTTCCTCTCTATTTTATTACGCCAAAAGGAATTTATAGATCATATTTAATTCTTCTCCATATTTGAAATTTTATAAAATATTGTATTAATTCTCACCATCAATTTATATATTTTTATTTAATTTTATTGGTAAAAATATTGCGTGGACAAATTAAGGAATTGTTGTTTCCTAAATTCAGAAAATGTGTGATGATTACAGATTATTACTTTGAATTGAACTTCAACCAGTGAAATGGAAGTCTTCAATCGCTGCAACGAAACTTCAACCGCTCAAATGAAATCTTTACTTTCATAAATTCAAAACTTCAATCACTCAATTGTAATCTCTTTCAAAATTAGGGGGTGAATGGGCACGGGCAGCAAGCCGTCTTGACTGAGAGATTGTGGGCATTGTAAATCAGCCCTATTATATACATATATATATATTTAGTTTATTACATTGATTTTTATTTTTTTTTAAATTCTGTATTTAATTTTTTCTAAATAAATTGAAATGTTTGCAAGCCAACATGACTCGTCTCGATTCGACTCATCAAGGGGACGGCTAATGGACTAAACCAAGCCAAGTTTGGATGGAGTAAAATGGCTAATAATGGAGATGTTTTTTTTTTTTTTTTTTAAAAATAGTAGCATACTAAAATTATCACTTCAACAGCTAGCGTTAAGTTGTATGTCCTTGTCACTTAACAACTATATGTGGATATAGGTCTATGAAATTGTTGTATATATCTGCAAGCAATGAGTTCAACGTGTTCATTTATTTAAGGGTATGCTATGAGAATGTGGACTTGTTTCAAAACGTAAACTTATATGCATATTATGTGAATTTAACAGA